TTTCATGCATTGTCTTGTCTTGGATTAGGATTTTCTAAGGTTGATTTTTTATCTTGCAATACACACACTAATTACTAACATTTATGAAAGTGATAAAATTGCGGAAAATAAACGTTCTACGCTATTATATCATTTGGGGGGTGGGGGATACAAATGTACAAATGGGGATTGCAAGAAATTAAACCTAATTATCTATTACAAACCATATTGAATAGCTATGAAGAAAATATATGAAATATGTAAAAAAAAATAACACAAAAGAGAGAAAAAACAAATCTTTCGATATCATGTGTCGAAGCATGTATCGAAGCATACTTATATGCATCAAAACATATCCTTCTTTCGACCCTATAATTCCAAATCAACTCAGTATGAGTCGAAGCATGACGTTATGTGTCAATCACACACCCTTTTTCCCTTCTGTTTGGGCATGTAAAGCAGTATGTGTCGAAGCCTAAGGATTTGTGTCGAATCATGATGTAATTTTTTCACTCCAACATTGTTTTATGGTCTGTACAGATTAGTTCTTAACATATAATTGACAAGAAAGGAATACAAACAAAAGGTTAGCTTCGAAGGCAATGGTTATTAAATGTTATCTTTGAATATGAATCATCAATGATACTTGAAACAAAGGGTTTAAAATCAAGATGACTTACCTTGAAGCTAGAATTCGTGTTTCGAACTTGAGTTGCTGCTTTGAATGTTCTTGAGTTCGAAAAAAAGAACATAGGTGTTGCTTCTTTTTTTTTCTGGTTTTAAGAGTGTTTTAAGGCTTCAGCATTCGTGTTCTCTCCTCTCTCTTTTTTTCTTTTTCTTCTCCTTTTTCCTTTCCAAAAGCCCAGCCCTTTGTGTGTTGTGAAACAGCCTATTTGTAGAAGAGTCTTACTGGGGTTTTGAGGGGGGAAACAAATAAAATTTGAATTGTTTGGGTATGCTCTTTTTATAGCTTTTGAGGTGCATCTCTTATATGCTAATTTGGTGCAAATATGGGACTGAGATAATGCAGGCTTGGACTGGTTTAGGAGCAGCATAGCAGGACTATTTTGTAGCAGTTTTGGAGTGTTGTGGCAGCTTGGTGCAGGGCTGTTTCATAGCAGTACATCAGACTATTTTTTGACATGGTTTTAGGCTGTTATGTGGACAGTACAACAAGCTTGGGCTTGGCAGCATATAGGACTTTGTTCAGCAGTAGTCTGGACAACATTGTTTATAGCATGGCACTAGTTTGGTTTTGATCACATAGATCCACAACCTTCGACCAAACTCGTCAACAGAAAAAATAATATTTATTTCCACCAATTGTATGTTCTTCGAATTTACCACATTCATCTGAATGTACCACTTACTTTGTCCTTTCGTTTTGATCACATAGGTCCACAACCTTCGACCAAACTCATCAATAGACAAAATAATATTTGTTTCCACCAATTGTATGTTCTTCGAATGGACCACATTCATCTGAGTGTACCACTTACTTCGTCCTTTCGTTTTGATCACATAGATCCACAACCTTCGATCAAACTCATCAACAGACAAAACAATATTTGTTTCCACCAATTGTATGTTCTTTGAATGGACCATGTTCATCTGAATGTATCAGTTACTTCGTCCTTTCGTTTTGATCACATAGATCCACAACCTTTGACCAAACTCATCAACAGACAAAACAATATTTGTTTCCACCAATATTATATTCTTTGAATGGACCACATTCATCTAAATGTACCACTTTGAGTATGCAAGATGATCTCATTGGCATAGTTGAAACGAAAGAATTTCTGGATTACTTTCCTACTAAACAAACTTCACAAAGTTTTTTTCAGGCATCTCAAGACTTGGAATACCAGTAACCATATCTTGAGTAATCAGTTGATTAAGTGGTCGAAAGTTCAAATGTCCAAACTTCAAATGTCACAACCAACTATCCTTGTGGATCGAAGAAAGTTGCTCGAAGGAAGCCATTGCCCAATCGAAGCTTGTGAATCGAAGCAAGTATGAAGATAGACAACATGTCAGATATCAATCTGGCAAAGAACCCAATAGCACATGGTCGAAGCAAGCACATCGAAATGACGTTCCATTATCTTCGAGAGCAGGTAGCAGATGGGAAGATGAATTTGGAACACTACAGAACTGAGAATCAGATTGCAGACATCATGACAAAGGGAGTGCAGGTCGAAGTATTCAAAATACTAAGAACCATGATGAATATAGATTGTTTAGACACAATGAATTAGGTTTTGTGTTAAATTGTAATTCATTGTGTCGGAACTATGTGTGTCGAAGGGTTTAGAGGTGGATCGAAGCAGGTTGCTTGAAGAAGCCATTGCCCAGTCGAAGCTTGGGGATCGAAGCAAGCTTGGTCTTCTTCAACTTGTCAAAAATCTACCAACCAACTCTTTCAATTAGTCATGTGGTTCGAACAGCCTGAACCAAATTTTGAATTTGACATAGTTATCAGCAACTGCACACTTTTTCTTTTATCTGCTTTGCCCTTTCGACAGTTTCATCTTCCTCCTTTCGAAGATTCAGAAGTTCCATCTTTGACCTGATGCTTGAAAGTACAATATGATCCATGGAAACTATATGGGACATTAAAATTTCAATTGTACTTGTGCAAACTTGAGCTTTTGAAAATCTTTGTGAGAAGTGTCTTGAGAAGAGAGAGGGAAAATTTTGGGGTACAACAGGGTGCTTGGTGACCCCTTTAGGGCAAACCCAAAGATAGAAGAGGGTAAAAGTTACAATCAAACCCTAATGTGTGATCTTGATGTATTTATGATATGAGATGATGAGAGATCTTAAGGGGGAAAATTGGGGTATAACAGGGATCTCAACTAGAAAGCATCTCAACCAACTTGTTTCTTCACTAGAAGCCCCTAATGCTATTATTTTAAAATTCACCATGGACTAAGCCAAGATAGTTTGTTTCTTTTATTTCCAAGATACAATTCCTCCAGCTATATTGAATATGTAGCCACTAGTTACTTTGGGATAATTTGAGAAAGTGTTCTAATCTGCATCATTGTATCCTTCAAGTACAACAAGAAATCTCTAATAATTTAAATTGGGATTCATGGTCCTCTTAAGGTATCACATGACTCTCTCAACGGATTTCCAATTCTCATTGCTTGGTATACTTGTAAACATGTGCAACAATCCTACGACATATATAATGTCGGGTCTAATACAATCAATGTCATACCTATGAGTGCCAATGATGCTCTCATACTCAATTTGTCTAACACTATCAACATTGTTATTAAATAGTTTAACATGACTGTGTGCAAGCAGATTTATAGTCAAAATAAATATATTTCTTTAAGATTTTATCCACATAGTGAGATTGATCCAATGATATTTGTTTTCCATATCTAGTGATATTGGTTTCAATAATCACCATGGTTGCTCAGAGGTCTTTCATATCCAAATTATTACACAACAATGATTTCACATCATTAACGACATAAAGGTTTTGATCTAAATATGAGTGAGTCGTCTACATATAGACATATGATATTGCAAATGTCATTTTGAATTTTGTAATAACCGCATTTTTCACTTTCATTCATTTTGTACTCATTTGATATCATTAATTTATCAAAATTTCCATGCCTTTGCTTTAGATCTTACTTTAGACCATATAAAGACCTATCTAACTTGAAAACCTTGTTTTCTTGCCCATTGTTGCACTCCAAAATTTGCCCTCCTATCTCGATTTTATCTGACTTATGCTTCGCATTCATTTGCATATTTTTATTAGGACATTTGCATAGCATTCATTCGTCGAATAAAGGCACATGAGGTTCAAGGGTTCAATGGTTATGCGAACTAGGGTTTCATAGTGGATTGAGGTTTAGATATCAAAGAAATTTTGATTCTTCTGGTTCTTCTTCAGGCGATGAAGTGTGGATTAGGGTTTATTTTCCTATGCTCGAGTTAGTTAAAATAACTAGGAGTTGACCTTACAATTGTCATGGCTTCCTCTCCTCAACATTCGAGTTTGTCATCCTTTTGAGAAATGGTTTCATATGCTTATGATGTAAGACATTCAAATGGGTTTTCTTACAAAGGGCTTGAACTTAGGGACGGGGTTTCTTGTGGATCATGGAGTGAATTCACCCCTTTTTGGTGCTTACACTTATCAATTGAAATAATTTTTGCTTGATTATTATGTGTTATACTCTTCATGGTCAGGGTTTCATTGGGTTTTCTTATTATCAATTCAAAGTGGATGCTCATTTGGTTACTTGGATTACAAGTTATGTGCTTTAGACCTTGTACAAGAGTTAGATGAAACATAGGGCATTCAAATGATGAGAAAATTGAAGAAGTCAAAGTTCAAAGGATGCACTCAAGAGTAAGGCAATGAAAAAGGGCATTGAGGATTTATTTCGTTTACTTGAATCATAAAACTAAATTCTCTTATAAGCTTAAGGCATTAGGATTTCATACATCACTATCTCATCACTCCATCAAGCATCTTTTCAAAATCAAAAGAAAATTTTAAAGATTAGAAAGATGTTTTGAAGAGTATTTTGTTCACATCCACAAAGTCTTGCAACACTCAATGCCATGATTCAAGAGATATAAAGATGTTTTCATTACAAAGTCCTAAGGGCCTTGATTATTTACAAGAGTACATCACACGAAGCCATTTAGAATGCTTCAACAAGATTCAAGTTTCTATTTGCAAAATTGTGAAATCAAGGATTCCATTCAAGTCATGATTCAAGGAGACAATATACTCAGGGATTCAAAGTTCATTCGTAATTCTGAATTTTTATTCAATGTTTAATCAAGTTTTACAAAGAAGATTACAAGAAATAGTTTGAGTTACATGAACTTTTGTCCTAAAATCTATCCTAAGTCTTCATGTCCCAGAACTCATGCTTTCTTCATGATACCGTCAACCATGCCCAAGCTTTCGATCTTCTCCAAGTCTCATGACAGCCCTGCAAAACTAGTTTGGCATCTGTGCCCAAAACCATTCCATCATGACCGAAAACATTCCAAAAGCATACTCTTGTAACCAAACCCTGCACATTAAAATCAGCAATGCACATGTAACAGAAAAGATAGCAAAAAAACTCAAAATTAGAACCAAAGCATTGAGTAAATTTTCCCTGCACCAATTCCAAAACCTGCTACAAAATGTCTACAAAAAATCTTGTCAAAATTCGACTGACAGCCCTGCACATACACATTAAAACAGTTCAGTCTGCATCCACTATACCAGTTAATTGCATCCACTAAACCAGTTCAGAAATGTCCACATCTAGTTAATTGAAAACAGAAAAAATCAAAGCGAAAAGGGAGGAAATCGTGGAAAGAAAAATATCATAACAAAAACTACAACTCAGCATATCAGGGCAAGAAAATAAAAAGAATATCAGAAGGAAAAATCAGAAAATCATTTTAACAGCTCAGCAAAATAGAAGGCTTCTCAAGCAAGTTAGAATCAGATTCAATCTCAACCTTTGATTCCATAACAGAAATTCAAAGGCTCGGATCCACTTATTTGCAACAAACTCTTGATCACTATATAACATAATTTCACTCTTCATTCATGATTCACGATTTATTCATCATACAAAAAGTTCAGAGAGAAAACTCAGAACCAACACACACAAAAACTTGATACCATCACAAACCACAGAAAAACTCAGAAGAAAAGATCACAAAAAGAACTCACCTCAATCTCTCTGAAAAAATCATTTTCCATTTTCATCTTTCTCTGAACCTTGCAGCTTCATTCATCAACGATTTTGCAAAACTCTCATCATCTTCATCGTAACTTCAATCTCATATCATCATCTTCATCATAACTTCAATCCCATATCATCACCTCTGCAACATTAACAATCCGCCTGTTGAGGATCCAAGAAGAGAGGAAAATATTGAAAGAAAGTTTTCATTATTCTGTTATGCTTCTGTTACATTCTTTTATATATACAGAACAAGTAAAGAGTAAACTATATAATAAGTATACAATATACATAAGGGTGTATGCACTAAAGTATAACTATTAGGCTATTATGTTGATACCTCCCCACAAGTTGGAATGTGGATACTGCACAAACCTAACTTGGACAAGAGAGAAGTGAACAAGGGGGAATGCAATGGTTTGGTTAAAACATCAGCTAACTGAGAGCTCGAGGGAACAGGCAGCAGGTGAATGAGTTTCGAAACCAGCTTTTCTCGAATGACATGACAGTCTAATTCAATGTGCTTGCTACGTTCGCGAAATGTAGGATTATGGGCTAGGTAGATGGTAGATTTGCTGTCACAATAAACTGATGCAGGTTCAGAGAGTTTTATGTGAAAATCCTTGTAGCATAACCATTGAATTTTGCTTGTTAGTGAAGCCAGAGCCCTGTACTCTGCTTCAGTGGATGATCTGGAAACAGTATTATGTTTCTTGGACCTCCATGAAAGAAGAGAGGTGCCTAGAAGTACACAAAAACCAGTCACAGATCTCCTAGAATCTGGACAACATGCCCAATCAGAATCTGCGAAGCCATGTAACTTTAACTCACTAGATCTTGAGAAAAGAACACCTTTGGCAGGAACACCTTTCAAGTATCTGAGGATACAGGTAGCAGCTTGACAGTGAGATAAGAACGGGTTGGCAACAAATTGACTAAGATGCTGAACATCATATGAGATATCAGGCCGGGTATTTGTGAGATACAAAAGTCTTCCTATCAATTTTCTGTAAGATGAGGGATCTTCTAAGGGTACTCCTTCAGTAGAAGAAAGTTTGCAGTAGGGTCAATAGGGGTTGAAACAGGTTTGGAACCCAGAAAACCTGTATCTTCAAGCAACTCTAAAACATACTTTCTTTGATTTAAGAAAATGTCTGAGGGGGACTTGGCAATTTCCAAACCTAGAAAGTATCTAAGTTGACCAAGGTCCTTAATGTGAATCTTTGATCCAAAAAGGCTTTGACTTGGTTAATTTCAGTAAGTGAATTCCCTGTTAAAACAATGTCATCAACATACACAAGAAGTGCAGTGAAGTGATGTGTAGTGTTTTTGGTGTAAAATGAATGATCAGTTGCAGACTGATGATATCCCAAGGAAATGAGTGCAGAGGAAAGTTTAGCGTGCCATTGCCTACTGGCTTGCTTTAGACCATAAAGTGACTTTGTCAGTTTGCATACCTTGGTAGAATCATGAGTGTTACAGCCAGGGGGAAGAGACATGTAAACTTCTTCATTCAAGTCTCCATGTAAAAATGCATTATTTACATCAAGTTGCTCCAAGTGCCAATTTTTGATAGCAGCAATGGACAAAAGCACCCTGACTGTTGTGATTTTTACAACAGGGGAAAATGTGTCAAAATAGTCCACACCCTCAAGTTGAGTGTATCCCTTAGCCACCAACCTAGCTTTGTATCTCTCAATACTGCCATCAACATGATATTTGATCTTATAGACCCACTTGCAACCAACTGGTACTTTACCTGCAGGAAGATCTACAAGAGTCCATGTTTGGTTTTCCTTAAGAGCAATGATCTCAGCATCCATAGCCTTTCTCCAACAATCGTGTTTTGAGGCCTGCGGGTATGTTTTAGGTTCAGGGAGGGATGAAATGGTACATCAGAATTTTATGTAATGGGAGAACAACTGTGATAAGATAAGGAATTGGAGAGAGGATATGGGATATTAGAAGTATGTTGAGAGGTTGTGGAAAGGAGATTGCAATGAAAATCCTTGAGGCAAGTGGGAGGATTCCTAGACCTAGTAGATTTTCTTGTGGGTTGAACTTGGATATTAGGGGTGAGGTTTTGGACAGTAGTGTCACTGGGAAGATTAGGATCAGAGTCAATGAGAGCAGAACTAGGGCTGGAAATGTCATTTTCATTTCTGTCATGACTATAAAGCTGAGGTGGGGTATGGCTAGGAGATTGAGGGTGACTGAACATAGCAGGAGCAGGACTGTCAGTAAGAGTAGTAGATTTTTCAATGGGCAAAGGGATATTTGTGTCAAGGACACCATGAGTACCTAGGGGTTCAGGCATTTGAGTGTTATTATTCATAGGGTTACTGTCAGATTTAAAGGGGAAAACATGCTCATAAAAAACTACATTTCTAGACATAAACATCTCATGAGAGGACATGTCATAAAGCAAGTAACCCTTAGTGCCATCTTTGAATCCTAGAAACACTGCTTTCCTAGCCCTAGGCTGAAATTTTGTCCTATGAGCTTGAAGTGTGGTTGCAAAACAAAGGCAACCAAACACTTTTAGATGAATTAGGATAGGGAAGGAATTAAAAAGCACTTCATAAGGACATTTGTTATTGAGTAAGGTAGTAGGAATTCTGTTGATCAAATGTACAACATGTTTAATACTATAATTCCATAATGTGTGAGGAACATTGGAATGGAAGGTTAGAGCTCTACCCGCATTTAAAATATGTTGGTGTTTTCTCTCAACCACCCCATTTTTTTGGGGTGTTTCAACACAAGACTTCTGATGAGAAATACCTTTTGATAAAAGAAAGGAATTTAAGGCTAAGAATTCAGAACCATTATCAGATCTGAGACATTTGAGAGTGGTGGTGAATTGATTTTCTAGAGAAGTTATGAAATGAATGATGCTTTGTTTTGTTTCATTTTTAGTCTTAAGAAAGATAATCCAAGTAAATCATGTAAAGTCATCTACAAGTGTGAGAAAGTATTTATGACCATGTATGGATTCAGTAGCAAAGGGGCCCCAAAGGTCAGCATGCAAGATATCAAAAGGAGCATGAGTAATAGATGAGCTAAGAGGAAAAGGAAACTTTTTCTGTTTAACAAAGTGGCATGATTCACAAGGAGCCATGGTATTATTCTTACAGGAAATGAGAGGAAAACTTTTAGCTAAAGTATGAATACAAGAATCAGAGGCATGGCCTAGCCTAGAATGCCAAGTTTCAAAAGAATTAGAGGTAAGAATGATACATTGAGGCAAGTTATTATGTGAACCTATGACATAGAGGCCTCTTTGCAGCTTAGCTGTACCAATCACTTGCCTCGAATGGTTCTGCAAAATGTGGCAAGTATTTGAAGAGAAATTCATATGACAATCTATGATATTAGTGAGTTTATTGACAGATATAAGATTGATATGAAAGACAGGAATGTAAAGAACATTGTAAAGAGTTAGGGTTGGAGTAACTATGACGGTTCCAGAAATAGAAGCATATATATGAGATCCATTTGGCAAAGATACAGAAATAGGCACAATGGTATGATAAGAGGAGAAATAAGACAGATTGAAAGTTATGTGGTATGTGGCCCAGTGGATACCCATGCTTCAAGAAACAAGTATCCACAGTGTGATTCATTCTCCCACAGTGTGTACAAACTCTGTGTGCTTCTTTAGGAGAGAAATTTCCCTTACCTCTGCCTTTAGCATGTTGACCATGAGCATGAACATGTAGAGCAGTAATTTCAGTATCGACAGATTCAACTGGTGAGGTGTAATTCAGCTCACGTTCTTGTTGAATAACAAGGGAGAAAGCTTTGTCTATGTGGGGTAACGGTGTCATCATCATGATTTGGGATTTGAGTGTGCGAGGGTAACGGTGTCATCATCATGATTTGGGATTTGGAGTGTGCAAACCGTTCATTCAACCCTTTCAGAAACCTGATAACGTAATCTTGCTCGCAATATGCCTTAGCAGAATCAACCGTAATCTTGAACAATCAATGAGGAAGAGGATAGGTAGGTCAAGCTCTGGTACCATGTTGAGGATCCAAGAAGAGAGGAAAATATTGAAAGAAAGTTTTCATTATTCTGTTATGCTTCTGTTACATTCTTTTATATATACAGAACAAGTAAAGAGTAAACAATATAATAAGTATACGATATACATAAGGGTGTATTCACTAAAGTATAACTATTAGGCTACTATGTTGATACCGCCGTATCAATAATAACACAGAGAATCGCAGCAGAAAACGCTTTGAAAACAGAACCGAACAGAGAAAAGGAAGAGGGAGAAGTTTCGAATCGCAGAAAAGCAAGAAATGACGATTCATACCTGAACAATAGCTTAATTCAAATAAATATATAATAAAACAAATCTGGTTTGAGTTGTGTTGTTGTTTGAACCAGACCACACTCATTTTTGGCACAACAAGAGCTTTTCCAACAAAACACTTCTTGGACTTGGAATTGAATTTGTTGCGCTGCACCCACTAATTGCCCAGCATCCTTT